TTTTTCATTCCCTTTCTCCTCTTCTTTTTTTATTGTTTTTCTGATATATAGATTGAAGTGACTCAGGTTTGGGACTTTTTTCCTCAGCGGCCGTTTGACCCCATTAATTAAGTTAACAAAGAACATGCGTAAGTATTCAAGAACACAAATAAACATCTCCACAACGTGCTGTCGTTTCAGTGAGTCACTGAACAGCCTGCAAATACAAACAAGCCCGGCTGTGCCTCTGCTGCTCCTCCTTTGTGGAGGCCTTGCTCCCCTTTTCTCACCCCCTCCAGGATGTGCTTGTACCATCCTCCTAAAGTCAACACGTTAGAGGGACATTGGGTGGTCTCTCTCTCTCTCTCTCTCTCTCTCTCTCTCTCTCTCTCTCTCTCCGCTCTCATCAGACCTATTTATCTATAGCAGCAGCTCGTCAGTACAAAGCGGGCCATGAGTCACGGCAGCAGAGCCCCTGACTCAATGCTGCTTTGGTTAATCAGTAACCAGAGTGGGAGCACCGTGGGAGTCTGGCTGGGTTAAAGTGAGGGAGCAGGGGAGTCAGGAGCTCACTCAGCAGCAGAAGACACACACGGTAAGAGCATACACAGCTCAGTGATTGACTTTTGATTGTGCGGCACAGTGGAGGTAAACTTGACAGATGGGAGGAAACTTTTTATCTCAGATAATATCTCATCATATTCTTCAAAGCCAAAGATTAAAACTGTCTCTTTAACAATCTTTTTATTTCAATTTGAGGTATATTTATTTTAATTTCTGTAGAGTTGCTACTCGAAGGTTATTGTGCGTCTGAACATGTCAAGAGTTTTGTCAAAAAAAATCAGTAGACTGACAGAAAATATCATGAATCAGCCACTTTGACCTCTGTGTGCAGTCGGTGAGTACACAGGTTACATATGAGAACATTTGAGTGCACCGGTGTTCTTGATCAGAAACCAAGGCCATGTCCTGTGGTGCACGTCCAAACAGAGGGGACATCTAGTGTTTGCTAACTTCCAGGAGTCCATCAGACCACATTTCCACAGGTTCAACTCAGAGGATAAAGTCCTAGTTTTGCATAAGAGCAATTACCCAAGTTCCTCTTGTTCAGAGAATATTAGGCTGATACATAAAGACCTTTCATAAGGAAGAGAAAGTAGTTATTTTAGTTTAGATGATAATCTTTAAACTGTGTTTACTTTGCATTCACTCAACACCATTACAATTTCCAGTTAAGAAAATGTGAAATAGCTCAATGAACTTCTTTATATTTTATTTAAATTCCTTACAACTTATCTGTTCATCTGAGATATTAGTTACAACATAAATACATTGTTTGATATATTCAGTTTTGTCTTAACATATAGTGACATTTTAAGAGTCTAAATTTGTGTGTGAGCACATTTTCTCTTCATGGGCGACTGAAGTGTCCATCTTTTTTGTCTCAGTAAACACATACAAACTTGTGCTCACACACACACAGACGCCCATAGACGTGTCTTCATTATCTATGCGACCTCTGTTGCCTGCTCTTATTCATTGACCAGCAGGAGAGCCGCCACACAAAAAGCCATCAATCGATCACTGACACACCGCTCTATGCCCAGTGTTCCTGCCAGCCAATCCTGTCAGAGACGGAGAACCACATTCAGCCGGATTTCTTCATTCACAGACCAGCTCATACTCACCAAAACTCAAGAGGCATGTTTGTATCTTAAACTAAAAACATCCGTCTCCCTCCGCAGAAGGAATCGTTTCAAGGTGAAGACCAACAAAAGCTAAAATGCAGAGATCGCCTCTTCTCCTCCTGCTATGCTGCCTGACAGCGAGTCAGGCCAACCGCGTCTACATTCACCCCTTCAACCTCTTTGCTGCCGACAACGTCATCTGCGAGACCCTGCAGACCAAGCCATCCAAGCCCCTGGAGACCGTTCCCGTGAGCCCCCTCGATATTGAGGTCCTGACACCAGACAGCAGGGACCAGATGGAGCTGGAGGCACAGAGGCAGAACATCACTGAGAGGACAGCGGTTCTGGCACACCTGTTAAACACTCTGGGCCTGAGAATGTACAAGGGCCTCAGCCTCAAAGAGCAAAGCACCAACACACTGCTCTCTCCCATCAACACCTACGGGACGCTCGTCACTTTGTACCTGGGAGCTTCCAAGAAGACAGCAAGCAAGTTCCAGGTAAGTTCTCACTATCGATGGTGTGCCAGAGGGTTTTAGGAAAGAAGACTTAGATTTATTCCTTTTTTGAGTGAAGTAATGATTGGTGACTGATATGATCATCGTGTCTTGAGCTTTAACTCAAAAGAAGCCAACCTTTCCCTCTCCTCTTCTGTCTTTGCAGCTTCTTCTGGGCCTGAACAGCGGCACTGACCGAGTAGACTGCGTGTCTCTGGTGGACGGACGCAAGGTTCTCAAGACACTGCAGATTATCAACTCTCTGGTGGACGATGGACCCAAGGATGAAATCACCACGCAGGTCTGGGCCTTCACTCGTCAGGACGTTCAGCTGTCCGAGGTCTTTGTTGGGGGCACGCAGGACTTCTCGGACACATCGTTCATCCGCAGCCTGGACTTCTCCAAACCTGAGGAGGACAAGCAACTGGTGAACGAGTTTGTGGAGAAGACGTCGGACGGGAAGGTGAAGAGCGTCTTTAAAGAGCTCAACTCCAGCAGTGACCTTCTGTTCGTCACCTCCTTCAACTTTCAAGGTCTGTGTCTCTGCTGAGTTGATTTTGAGTTGATGGAGTCAAGATATCGCACATTAAGACATTTTATTCCCGGGGGAGACGACATGTAACCAACGTAATTCAGACTAAAAGTATCTGATTATTTTGTACATCGACCCAGACGCTAATATAACAACACTGAAACTCTATCGCTGTCTCCTCCTGCACCACCCTGCACCACTGACTGTGTTCTTTGGTTGTGTCTGTTCAGGCAGCTGGAGGACAGCCTTCCAGCCGGAGAACACCTCCCTGCAGGAGTTTCAGGTGGATGAAACGACAACAGTGATGGCTCCGCTGATGACCCACACGGGTCAGTTCTTCTACCTGAATGATAAGGTAAAATTTAGTTCAGGAGCATTGTGTTATTTTTCCTGTTAACATCTGCAGCTGTAAAATGTGACATGAGGATAATCATCTCTCTTTTCTGTTGTGTCACTCTGAAGATGCAGCAGTGCACTGTTGTGAAGTTGTCTCTGAGCAAACGGTCATACATGTTGCTGGTCCTGCCTCACGAAGGGGCCAAGCTTCACGACATTGAGTCCAAGCTGCACACAGACGTCATCTCTGGCTGGCACCACAGTCTCCAGGAGGGGTGAGTGATGCTCTGTTTAAAAACACTATATCAAGACCCGATCCAACTTTTGACGAGAAATCTGAAGGATTTTTTGTTAAATTGTAAAACAACATGTTACATTAATCACCTGTAGTGGAGGAAGTAGTCAAACATTGTAAGCAAGTACTTCCTTAAAGATATACTTCAAGTTTGAAGTAAATAACTAATGTTTCCTGCCTGCTCAGATTGGATTGAATGGACCAATTCCCCCCTCGTTGTTGTTTACTTTTTAAGAAGTCTACTTTGTGTACATTGTAAATCTGTGGAGTCGAAAGTACAGATATTTGTTGATATATGAAATGGAACAGGTTTAAGTTTAGTTTATTTCAGTCCACTAAACATTTTTTTCACAAAGGATTTGTTACAAAAAAAATAAAGCAATAGGTTTATGAATAATAAACAAAGGAGCAGAAAAACATAGAAAACAAATGTATAAATAGAAAAAGTGCTGACTAAAGATCTTGCCCAGAAAAAAAACTAGCAACCCTCTTCCATCCTGAAATTAATTCAGATACATGACAAATATAATTAGTTACGTCCCATATCCTTTAGTTGTGCATCTAGTTTTAATTCCATCATCTTTATGTTCCATATTTTCTTAATATTGCACGTTTCATATTTATTGTTCTGCTGCTTTTCATTTGTAATGTCCCCTCTACTGCTGTAACATGGCAAATCTCCTCACTGTGGGACCAGTAAAGGATTATCTAATCTTAAAATCTTAAATATGTTCCCCTCTCATGCCTCCAGTCTGTTGGAGCTGTCGCTGCCAAAGTTCTCCCTGTCGTCTGAGATTGATCTGCATGACCTGCTGACCAAAATGGATCCAGAAATCGAGGCCGAACTCTTGGGCTCCCTTGCTGAGTTCAGTCAACTCAGCAACACCAAACCCTTCACAATAAATAAGGTGAACGATCTATATGTTCAGCATGTTATGTAATAATAAAAACCTCTGGCTGTGTGTGTGTGTGTGTGTGTGTGTGTGTGTGTGTGTGTGTGCATCACTCACACTTCTGTCTCTCCTCAGGTGGTGAACAAGGTTGTGTTTGAGATGTCGGAGGAAGGAGCAGAACCTCAGGAGAAGGTACAAGAAGCGGGCGTCCCTGTGAAACTCACGATCAACCGCCCGTTCTTCTTTTCTGTCATAGAGGGAAATTCTAACGCCATCCTCATGCTGGGCAAGATCACAAATCCTACACTTTAAAGTTGTGTATTACTCCAAACTAACGGACTTAAAAAAACATCAAACAAACCCGACACATTTCCTTATGATCCACTTTGTTCTGCTCAAGATGAATCATGTTCTGCAGAGTTGAAATTTCCTTTCACCACCTCATCCTCTCACCGAGTCAGTATTTATGAAAACCTGTTACTTCAAGCCGAGTTGTTTTCAAGCAGCCTGTTAATTTGTTTTTCTTTAAATTTGATAGCAGAGTTCTGTACAGTGTTTTTAAGTAGAGTTGGTACAGGAACCACAATTCTCAAGACTAATACATTGTATATTGTAACTAAAGAGTTTATTTTTGTTTTGTTATGGTTTATGATTGCTGAAATAAAACATTTGTTTCCCAATGTAGTTGATCCGTCATTTGTTAGAGTTTCAGACTGAACAGTTTTAAATGAGTTTTATGTCAACATCCATCACATCTAAGAAGGTCAGAGGCCTGCAACACGGAGTGATGCTGCACTACAGGTCATTGAACCTGAGGCCAGATCTGATTTTTCATAACAACATGGTTTAAATTCCAATCAGATGTGTTTGTGGTTTATCAATCTGTAGCATTTGTTTCAGTGAAATCAATAGAAAACCATCAGTCCCCTATCATTCAGTGAAACTGCATCACACTGCACACAATCATAGTTATCATTGTGAATACGGCCGACTGTTCGCATCAAGATCCATTATTTATTCCCTGGGAAATTGGTGAGAATTTTATAAATAAAATTCCTGGATCTGCCCCCTGAAGTAGATCCACTTCAAACTTTAAAGGGTTCTTCCACCATCTGTACTGCATCATTCAACCAAGTTTCTTCAAAAACAATTCAAACAAACACACAAGCTCCTTGGTGGTAAAGCCAAGCCCCAACAGTCCCCTTCAATTCAGTAAAGCTGCAATAAATTACAAACGCATCAGTTCCCTAAATATGCCAGATTTTTAAAATCAACACCCGTTCATCATTATTCCCTGAGAAATCGGTGAAAATTTAAAAAAAAAAAGCCCAAATGTTGTGATGTTAAAAAAGTCATGGAAAAAAAATCCTGGATCCGCTCCCCAATCCAGATCAGCACCACAATCTAACGGCGGCCTACATCCCATCTTTTTCTCACGATTCATGGAAATTCTTTCAGTAGTTTTTGCTTAATAGCACTGACAAACAAACACATTCAACCTCCTTGGTAATAACATCTTGTTGACGTGTACACAACCATCCTGTGGCTTTGGAATCAGTGAGAAAAACCTGTATTTCATTTACAACCTTTGTATTAAAACACAGAGATTCAACACTGTATCCAAAGTTCTCTACTTCTTTCCCCCCAAAGTTAATTATGTCAAACATATTATACTATGCAACCTCCATACAACTTAAAGACTTCTTTATTGGAGATGAATCCTTCACCAAGTAGCAGAATTTAGACAAATAGTGTTTGATTCTCTCTTTAGAACTTTCTGACCAAATCAGAAAAGTAATCTGTCGAGCATTGCATTTTCACCGCTCCTCCCACATCAGGGATCTTGTATAAAAACATTTCATGGACTCACCACCGTGCAGTCCTCCTTCTAATTCACAAAGCTGCGGCAGAAGCCATCAGGATCCAGACAGCAGCAGTTTCACACAGTAATTTACAGCTGAACTCTGACAGGTCCCTGTTGGTTCAAATTCTGCATTAAATAGAGATGTTCTTGTTTGATGCTTCTTTTTTTTTTACAAAACATCCCCCTACATTCTTCGTGGTATGGCCATCATTAACTAGACCATGACTTTGGTCTGGACAGGGACAAGTGTCTTCACAAAAATGCAGAGATAAGTGCAGCATGTTACTGGTTTCCAGTTACTGTGGAATCAACGTTTTACTGGTTCTGCTCAGCAAGCTCTCGAGCCTCCCTCACGAGGTCCATCAGGGTGGAAAACATGGAGATGTCACTTGGCTGAAGACCCATCTTCTGAATCTGAGACGAACAACAGAACAAAGCAACGTGACTAACAGTGTTTCAGATGACCAGGAAGTTTCAAACACAACCAAGTCGCAGTTTATAACTTCAGAAATGTCATTTATTTAAGTACGTGTCTGCACAGACGATGAATGCGTTTTTGCGTACTTGTCAAACACAACTCACCTGCTCTCCCAGGTATTCCACGTCTAACGCCAGCTGAAGACGGATCTTGCTGTCATCTGTTGGTCCACCATTTGCTCCCGCCGCCGCAGTCGTGGTTGCACCCTTTCTCGCTTGCTTAAGTCTCTTCAAACTCTCCTCCATCTTTCTCACTGAGCTCAGCACCTCCGAGATGGTCTCATAGTACCTGGACACAAACCGCGGAAATTGTCATTAGTGAGAGACGGTTTGTGGGTCGCAGCTGGAAAGAAATCTGGATAAGCTGAGTTACAGTAAAGGGATGAGCGCATGCTGTAAATATTCACGTACTGACTTTGGTCAGTATATGTAAACTTGTCAATACAGGAACGGCCTCATGGTTTGTTTGAGTGTTTAAAGTTACCTCTGTGTGCAGTTAGAAAGTGCAACTCGCAGCCATTCTTGTGCAGTGGAGGGGGTGACCAGCCCTGTCGAATCCGTCAGCAACTGATGTAAAGGACGTAAGGCGTTGTCCATGTAAGCTGACGCACGCACAGGCAGATCCTACACAGGGAGGAAGTCAAATATTTTACATTTTCCAAAATATGTTTGTATAGAATTCAATATTTCAAGGACATGTGTTGTTGAAAGTTGCATCTCACTTTCCTTTTCTCTTAAAAAACCCCACAAAAAATAACTTGATAAGAGCTGGAATTTTCCGTTGACCTCCTGTGGTTTGTTTCTAACTTTGCTGCAGTCATGTCAAGTGTCAATCAATACTGTGTGTGTGGTAACATGTGAAACAGGTTGTGTGAACACACAGAACCTCTCACAGCAGTGAAACACTTTGTTTCAGACAAATATGATGAAATGTATTAGTTAGCAGAATGTTTTTGTATTTTCAACAAATGAGTGACTAACTATAACTACAAGTGTGAAACATTAATTTAGAATCAGACTTAGCAGAAGTAGAGGCTCAGAACTTACTCAGGACTTGGAGAACATTGAGGGAAACTCAAACTTGATGTTGTGATCCTTGATGAATAGTTTTTAACAGTTCTATTAATTCCAATATTAACTCTACAGTAGTGTATCAAACCAGTTTTCAAAAACAGCTACAGAGACGTCTGGTCACTGGTGGGCAGAGAGGCTAACTGTCAATGAGCAAGGGAGTTTTTTGCCATTTCAAAGATCAATTATAAAGTTGGATAATTGCATTAATTTCTGAAACTCGAATGATCTTCACATACAAGAAATCTCTTCAAAGTGAGCTCAGCCTTTAAAACTGAACAACCATTCAGGCAAGGCAATTTTATTTATAAAGCACCTTTCATACACAGGTAGTGATAGATTCAAGGTGCATTTAGTTCTTTAACAGGCTCAAGCTTAAAACCAACAACAATAAAATATTCCAGTACCATTTGTTTGAATGTCATTCATGTACCAACAAGCATTATCCCTCCAGGTTTCATCTCAAACTTACCAGTAACAGCATTTCAAATGTCACAACACAATTCAAAGTGCATTCGCCCTCCAGGTTTGGTCTTGATCAGACAAATATTTGCTCCATTGCTCAGAGGGACGTTATATGACCAGGGAGAAAAATAGGAGAAACATGTGCGTGTTTGCATCCTCGCTGACCTTATTAGTCCTGCGGTAAAGTCGTGGAACCTCCGAAGCGCTCTTTAGGAAGCGGCAGGAGCGCTCAGTCAGATGCTGGGTCATCCTGGCGTTCAGAGTGGGAACGCTACTTGACAGACAAACCTTGGAGTCCGCCAGAGCATCTGTCATAGAAGAGAGCACCAGTAAAATGAGTAAAGGAAGTACACTGGCAGACTGAGCTACCCATGAGCTGGAGGAATATTTTGTTACCACTACTTTGTCAGTTAACAAGTTGTTCTCAAAAGCATGTCAGGGCTTTTGAATGTTTAAAGTTCATTATAGCATGCATAACATCAGATTAAATCCCCTGCAGCTTTAGAACTGACAGATAATTCAGGAAAACTTCCACAGAAAAATCTGAAAAGATTCAAGCAAAAACTGCAAAGCTAAAATGAAAAACTAAAATGATTAGAGCCTGAAAAATATGTCTGTTTGTGGGCTGACTGTATGTCTGTGAAAGGCTCATATCAGCACATATTATCAGTCAGGCTCCAAAATCAAGTTTTATAAGCATCTGGGCAGCTTACCTTCCACAATTGCAAGGTTTTTGAATCCAACTGCTTCTAAACGCTGTCTGACCATTTCTGACAACTCTGGGATCTAAGAGAAGACGAACCACCTGTCAGTTCAGAAACAATCAAGTGGAAACTGGGGAATGAATTTGAAGCATTAAATAAATCAATAAAGAATCGTCTGTCACTGATGTAAAGGTTTATGTGCAGGGCTCCAGAGTTACTTTATATATATGCTGTTATAAGGATCGTATTCCAGTGTTTCCTTCTAAAGGATTTTGTGTGTCTGCTTGTCTCTGTCGCTCTTCACACATAAACAGACAATCACATTTATTTTGTTACTAATCGATGATGTTGCATCATGGATCCAGTTCTGGTGACTTTAAAATTGATGTCCTGGCTGTGCAAGATAGTGTGTGTGTGTGTGTGTGTGTGTGTGTGTGTGTGTGTGTGTGTGTGTGTGTGTGTGTGTGTGTGTGTGTGTGTGTGTGTGTGTGTGTGTGTGTGTGTGTGTGCGCACCTGCTCCTGGAGCTTTTGGATGTCAGCAGCAATGTAGACCAGCTGTTTGGTGGACAGAGATGCAGGACTCCCACTCTCACTGCCACCATCTTCCATTGAGGTTCGGCTGGAGGTGGAGGAGGCTGAGCTGGGCAGAGGCCTGGCTGGCTCTTTAGTCGCCTCAGGGACTGGAATCTTCGTCAACGCCTGCACAAACACAGATGGGGACAAAGTGCAACAAGATGGATTGTTTTCATACTGTTTTGTTGACACTCCTGCTTTTAAAAATAGTCTTTAAATCAAATCTTTGTAGTCCTCCTGCCGTTCATTTAAGATCACCTCATCGAGAAACTTGGAGTATCGAGAGTAGAGCTGCAGCGTGAGCTTCCAGAAGCGATGGGCCAGAAGTGACAGGTAGACCTTGTCAGACCAACATCTCATTAGACAGGACCACAACACCTCAGACACCTGCAGGTGGTACGCACTGCCAGCTGGACATGAACAAGACACAGACACACGGTTACTGTGAGTTAGGTCCACACTGGTGTTCATGGCAGAAAATTATTTCCTACCGGCTGCTGCCTCGAGTCCATCACTTATGGCGATCTCCAGACTCCCTGCTATTTCCTTATACCTAAACAAAGAGGGACACACAGAGAGGGGAAGCACAAAATAATCAATGTGTTCTCAGTTTATTTCTTGCATAAGCTCTGATGTCCACATGCTCATGACAAAAAACAAAACGGTTTCTTGGAAATGATGGACTTGTCCAGGCTTCTGTTGTGAAATGAGGACACCGCAACCAAATCTTTGTCTTGAGGGACAATGATCAATCTGTGTATGTTTACAGTGTACAGTGTGTTTGTGGCTGACAAACAGTAGACAACTGTTTTTACTTTTTTCACAAAGGTCAATGCCCATTAAGTCAAGGTCCAGTGTCACGTTTATAGGAAAAGTTTACTGAGATGCAGATACATGTCCTAAATTTACATTTAACCTCTTATCATAGTCCAATGAAAATGGTCTTGATGGTTAAACATTTGCCAACCTGTATTTTTCCACTAAAA